CAGTTGATTCTGCCTAATGCTGAGGTCACAATTCCCACACTGGACCCGGCCGGACAGCTTTTGGGAACGAAAAGTACGACAAAAAAGACAACAGAACACAGAAAAGTTGTTAATAACAATCATGGGTACTATTTCTGTATATTCGTGACATGAATTGTTAATTTTTCGTTCATACAAACAGCCCGGCCGGGCCCCGGTTTGGCAATATGACCTATGCATAAGCTGAACCAAGTCATAACATATATGTTCTGCATATACCTGTTCTGCACAATAGTTTTTTTTACAATTTGCATCATTTTGTCTTGACTTGTCTAAACTTTTGTTTCTTAGTGGACTTCCAAAAACTTGTATTCACTTATTTGTATATCAATCAATAGTTTGAGCTGATAAACCTGCATTTCTCCTCTGGTATCTCAGTCACTGACGAAAGCTAGTGGATACTAGCTGAAACGTCTGACCGTTTCCAAAATCATATCCAGTTGCTTGAGTAACTGCTTTTTGGCGTATCTTATTACCTGGATGTCTAACCTTCATCGACGTAATGATATATTTCATTGCCAAAAATACAAAGACATCGTTCGATGCCTAAGATCTTCTTTTCAACGTGTACAGAAAAATAAGCAACCGTTGTGCTAACAAATTTGGACGTACATGATCTATGACTTGATAAATTGAATATTGGCCATGTTTTTAAAGTATGCATTAAAAGTCAAGAAAAACACAGAAATTACAAAATACACTCCTTTATCAATGAAATATGACGGCGTCCTCCCAGGGTGCAGTCCATATAGTCTTTCGAGCCTGGACTGCCAGTGAAAAGCTGTATTGGTCGAAGTCTAGCAGTAAGGGGAGCTAAGCTGAGGCGAATGTCTTTGTTTTAGAGCCTCTTGTGGCATCATTAGATGAAATGCACAGCTGTGGATCAGACCCAATCATTCTTATTCTTTTACACCGGGGATACAAATGTGCTCTCATTATTTTCTGGAAAGGCTACAGAGAGTCTGAGTGTATCAGAGCTGTACAGAAGGTCAACCAAAAGTAAAGGTTGATTTAGGAACTTCGGGGCAATAGACAACTCTATTAAGATTGTCTTTATTGAATTTCCATAGTGGACAACTTTCGCGATGACTGAATTGCAGTCAATTTACAGATTTGTACACTAGCATATAATATTGCACATAATTCTGATTCTTTCAATTGACATACCTTGATATGATTACAAAGAAATGTAGTACCGCTCGTAAAATTATATTTGTTTACTTAGAATATTCAAATTTGTTGATAAAATACGCGCACATAATATTCAAAGTGATTCAGTTCATCATGGTTTAAAATCTTTGAACTCGTCCAACTATCACTCTCAAGGAACTCATTGAATCTGAGGCCGGTTTACAAGGACTTGAACTTCTTTCTGCAATGACTGGCAAACAATACTGGAAACAGAACTTCTCCTGCTACACCTCGTGATGAGGATGGTTTAGAATAGATAAATTCTTCTGTACATGTATAAATAAGTTCAAATTTGTTTCATTTTATCATGTCAATATCAAGTAAGTTACAACAATCCAGACATTGAAAAGCCACTAGTCTCTTAACAATTAATGACTAGGCAGGGGTGTCATTCATCTTGTCTTGCAGTACCTTTGTGTACTGATATCTGTATCTGCATAGCCGGTATAACCGCCCTTTAGCGTAGCACACCACCTTCGCAGGCACGCGGCGCGGCGGCAGTTGGCTACATTACACCGAACGACTTGTTACACCTAACCCTTGAACATTTGACTCTAAACATTGTTTAAAGCTATCTAATGACAATGCCCCTACTGTACTTGGTGACAGCGAGTTCCACTCTGCGATAGTTTTAGGAAAGAATGCATTCTTGAACACCTCAAATTTTTACGGCGTTGACCGTCCCTGTCCCCCAGGTCGGTATCCTGAGCGCCCTGCCTCACCTGGTCATGACGTGCATCGTGCCGGCAGGCGGCCAGCTGGCTGACCTCCTGCGGCGCCGCAGAATCCTCTCCACCACGAACGTACGCAAGATCTTCAATTGCGGAGGTTGGTTAATCTTCTCAATTTTTGTAAATGCTCTTATGTGTAAAAATCTAAATTCTTTCAATTTTAACCGTAATAGTTTCTGTATGCGAATCTAAATACTATCAATTTTAATCGTAGTGGTCATAGCCAGCGACATTATTGAGCCGGCGGAAACTACGGAGGATGGCACCCAGGCTACATATCTTATATGTTATAAACTGATATTGGTATTAATCATGCTGTAATAGCCAAGTGTTGTATTTGCCAACTTTCTAGTGCATTCTCCTTTTTGAGATCATTCTGTAGCGCACTTCTTAGTGTGATATTTGTTTTTCCTTCCTTCCTTCCGTTCGTTCCTTTCTTTAACTTTCGTCCAGTTCTCCAATCGGCGACGGTCCTTCTTCTATATGTAAAGTTACATATACATAATGTATAGAGGGGGGCCCTGTATAATCTGGAAAGACAACTTAGTTCAGCACCTGGGTCCTACATGTTCAGATTGTGAGATGAAGAAAAGACTGGAGCCTGTCGAGGTAATGATAATGATGATACGATATACTTATACGTACTGTTGATAATGTTATCTCCAGGGTTTGGAATGGAAGCGGTATTTCTGCTCATATGCGGATACAGTAGCAGAAATACGGCAGTCGCTATCGTCTGTCTGACTATTGCTGTTGGCTTCAGCGGATTCGCTATCTCCGGTAAGTGAAGTACACATAGTGTCTCTATTTCCGGGTAGAGTTTACTGTGCATGTGTGTTTTGATGGAGCCATTTGCTAGCAGGTTGCGCCACTCGTCTGTGTAACACAGAATTTTACTGTCTAAAGCTTTATAGTTTCCTACCGGCTCTTTATCATTTACAAAAAAATAGAATAACTACCTTGTGGTATGGAGTGATTTGACAGCATAGCCGAGCTAATAAACTACTTATCTATAAACAAAATAAACTCCATCTAGCCCAGAGTATTGGTACAAAGTTTAAAGCTTGACACCGTTCTTTCTGTGAAAGGCTTCAATGTGAACCATCTGGACATCGCGCCTCGTTGGGCCTCCGTGCTGATGGGCATCTCCAACGGAGTGGGCACTCTGTCAGGCATGATCTGTCCAATCATCGTCAGCACCGTCACCAGACACAAGGTAAGCACCGCTGTCATTTGTCAGCTACTGTCACGTGGTTGGGTAAATCCAGTTTGATCTGTCCAATCATCGTCAGCACCGTCACCAGACACAAGGTAAGCACCGCTGTCATTGGTCAGCTACTGTCACGTGGTTGGGTAAATCCAGTTTGATCTGTCCAATCATCGTCAGCACCGTCACCAGACACTAGGTAAGCACCGCTATCATTGGTCAGGTACTGTCACGTGGTTGGGTAAATCCAGTTTGATCTGTCCAACCATCGTCAGCACCGTCACCAGCACCGCTGCCATTGGCCAGCTACTGTCGCCACCTTCCAACTCAGCAACAGAGAGTGAATGCAAGCACTTCAGTATCTCTTGAATAATAAGCTGTAACAAAGAAATTGTTTTTACTTCTCAACAGAATGCGAGGGAATGGCAGACAGTCTTCCTCATCGCAGCCAGTGTCCACTTCTTCGGTGTTATCTTCTACGCTTTCTTCGCTTCTGGCGAAGTCCAGCCATGGAACGATGACATCGAGGACAAAAATGGAGGAGACAAGTAGGTTTTGCTATCTACAAATCTAAACAAACCGGAGTTGAGTTTTAACTCTTAGCATGACTACCAGAAAATGGTAGCACACTTCCCCGATATTTATACGTTACTAGTTTCAGCAGAGATAGAAAGGCAGAACTTTTTGTTTTTGCTCTTTTTCTTCTTCTTCTCCAAACAAATAAGTCAATGACCATGACTACAGTCTAGATCTGTTACCATGGTAACTGTTGCTGTAACAGACACCAAGTGGTGTTGGGTTACATTATGTGGCAGGACAGAGTTGGGGGGGCTGCTAATCATATTATATATGAATGTATTTGAATAAGAGTAAGCAGAGCAGTAATATATTAGGTTGTGTGAATGTAAACATTATGTATTTTCTTTGAAAAATTTTCAGTTTAAGATATTATCTTTCTAGTTATAAAATAATCTTAATTGCTTTTACGCCCCTCAGATACAAGGACATTGACAAGCAGACGATCGTTGACAAAGACGAGTGCGCCCTGACAGCGGAAGAGGGGATGGGCACGTACGGAGCCTGTGACAGCGACATCATCCCCAAGAGCAAAGAAGAGCTGGTGCAGGTATCAGAAATTTAATTCTGATTTTCAACAATCCAATGCTGCTATATTGAACAAAAACGTACTTTTACCTGTGACAAACACACTTTACACACTCTCTATTACAATAATGTTGATGAAACTATTTTATATAAAAATAAAACTTGGGTATTTTTTAGTATAATTCTAGCTTTATAAAATTCTAGCATTATAAATACTAAGTAAAGTGACATCGATTGATATAGCTAATATTAACTCCAATACTGAAGCCCAGAAGTGGTTGATAAAATAAATTTTCAAAGTGGATTCGATTTGCAAATATTAATATCTAGAACTCTCTGAGGTAGTACTATAAAAACTACATAATAATAAAAAGTGCAGAACATTAAAAGTAAACTCAAGCTCTGCATTCTGTATCTGTATTATGTATCCGTATAACCGCCCTTTGGCGTAAAACACAAACTTCGAAGGCATGCGGCGCGGCGGCAGCTGGCTACATTACACTGAACGGCCTGTTACATCCAATCTTTGCACATCTAACTGCATACAGAAGTTGCTAAAATCTTTCTAGTTATGATGCCCCAACTGTGATCGGTGGCAACTAGTTCCACTCTACGATCAGTATAGTTCTTGAAAAATACGAATTTCGAACAAATTTGAACACCATAATTCTTGGTTGATAACTCTGATATTAGAAGGCATGGCTGTTTCTTGTCCTTTTCTGGACTGGTATTGGATACTTAGTGGTTGGTACGTCTACCAGTTTATTAGTCACTTTCTACATCATGTATATTCTGGACATTTATTTTTATAGGTACCAGCCAAGGACACGTATCTCCATGGAGATCCAGACGACCGAGAACTGCGATGACGTAACGGAATATTCCACGTAGATGACGTCAGTACAATACGTAGTTTCATCGTTGTGAAAACTAGCAACTTTACTCACTAATGCATTGATTGATTCAAGTACATGTAGTGACAAATGAGGAAAAGGAATTTAAGAACATGGCTACCATGGATATACTCTAGATTCAAGCTATTAGGGCTCTTTAACCTTATCAACCTTTGTCTTAGACGAGACCTAGGCCTTCTCCGGGAGGAATAGTAGTGATACTATAACATTATGACTCTTGATCATGTAGAAGTGTTGACCAATGAAACAGTCCCAATTTGTTGTCGGTGACTCTGATTGGTTAAAAGATGTCGTGTGTGTCCCCAGGAATTCCAAAGTGTACATATTATGTAATGAACAACAACAAAAAAAGAGTCCTCCAAGCAATAGAACATTTGTTCAAGGGCGTGCGGTATTTTGTGACGTCTTATATGATGTATGGTGTATAAACAAAAAAACAGGTAAAACAGTTAGATCAGATGTAATGTAGATTCCAATGTACATAGTTACTTCAGAAACGTTCCCCAAAGGCCAATGCGATCAGTACACAATAATAATACAAAGGGTCTACGCTGGGAACTTTTCTGAAGTACTTGATCAACAGAAGTCGGGAGAATTTAACAGCGCACATATAAAGTAACAGCGCTTGCCAGTGATGTATGTACGCAAGGTGATAGAAAATCAGAAATATGCAATGTTCTTCTCAGCAGTAAAGGTGTTCCATTGATGGTAAAACCATACATGTTGCGATGCTGTATATCGTGTAGAAGCACTTCTGATGTGTAGGTAGTGAGGTGATATTTTATGTCGACGACGCAAGCGTTATGTGCGAAAAGCTAGTGGTCCGTCTCACGGTCCTTTCGTGTTAGACTGTCTCAAACCGATATTTCCACCTATACTCACTCAGGAGACTCGTATGTTATACTGTACACACGTGCACCTACTAGCCGTATATCGGTGTACCATTTTCCTAAATTACTCTGGTAAAAGACAGGAACGTAAGTACATGTAAGTCACGTATATGTCGAAAAATATCACGGGCCCTGGTGTACTGAAGAGTAGTTTTCCCGTTATGTATGTATGTAGTAGTCCTGGTAGACTACCTCTCGGTATAACTATAGAAACTGCACTTTGATGGTGAGTTTAGGGAGAAATTATGATGGTAAAATGTAACACAAATTCAACACGCCCGGCCGGTGAGATCGCGCAGCGCACATGTTCACCTGAGGTGACGGTCTCCCGTGTATCCGCGCGCGGGAGACCGCTGTGGCTAGCCGCGGTGCCGGTACGGAGAGTGAGGGACCAGGTAGTGATGGCGCAACATGATCACGTATGTAGAACGTAGCTAGCATGTGGTGATAACACTGGTCTAGTCCCTTGCTTTTGGCTTCTGTATGTAAGTGAAAATCAAAAGAAAGAAAAAATAACAATCATGATAATAAAGATAAAGAAACTAATACTGCTGAAACTGACATCAGCAAAATAAAAACTAATTCGAAGAGTTTAAATGATGACAATCAGAAAATCTAAATCGTGGCAGATAAAATCAGTAAAAAAATGTTGATGGTATGTGTTGAGCTTTGTGCTGCTGGTGATTTGTAAATAGAATCACAAATATTGTACCGCAGTGTTTTCTATAGGTCTTGCCATTTGTGACGAACTGTAGCACAGGAATAGCACAAGTAAGAGGCAAATCTAAGAAAAAAAATGTATATGTGTGTATTGTATACTGCTGCCGACAGAGAACTTAGCGACTATAAACCGATCTCTAATAATCCTAAAGATTTCACTATCAAATGAAAATAAGTTGAATGCATGTGCATTTCTATCTTTAAGAGTGTAGCAAAGTTGTGTATTTTTTTCATCCTAAGTATTTAGTGTCGTAAAAAAGGAATGAATGTCAACTATGTGGCAATCAATATATGTGATGAACATGCTTAATAATGTCAAGATGCACTATGTTTGAAAAGCGCAAACGTCGTATCTGGAAGAAGACGCAGTGCGCCATTTAGATTGAAATCCCTCTGGAGGCGCAAGCTAAGCACTATCCTAGCACATGTACATGACGAACTGTGTATTAGATAGATTGTAATCGTAACAATGCAACCGTAGATCTATTTTTCCTGTGAAGTATGTCCTGGTGTGTAATAAGCAACAGCAGAAATGTAAACTGATTTTATCTCACGTTCTAGACATTGTATGTGTAGCGTCTGCTTTCGAAAAAGTACTGTTCTTTCTGTGGTTTGTTCATTTGACTGACGAAATCCCGTCCACATGTCAATAGACTTTTGCTGCATGAAGCGTATATATACGTGTCAAGATATAAGGTAGAGTCCAAAAGGTTGTATAATGTATTACTTGTAAAAAAAATAGTCATATCATGTAACGACAATATCATAGACTCCCCATTGAGCAATGAATAGCAAGCACATCTATGAAGAAACGACATGATGAAGTCCTTAGAAAGTCCATCAATAAAAAAAACAAGCAAAAAATGAGGCTGACTGATGTCTAACTGTGTATTGGTAATGCTTCATTTAAATCTTGTGTGACAGGTTAAACATTTGTTTATAAAGTTGACGTGCCGAGGGTACATTAGATGACTTTGCAATTCTTTTTTTCAGATCAAAGTTTTCATGTCATCTGATATTATTAGCCTTCTCAATGTATTTTATCACAACCTTGGACTGCATACTAACGTAGCGAAAAAAATATTACACATAATACCGCTAGAATGTACTAGGTTTTACGTAACTGTCAGTGCTTGAGTGTTGGTAGACGCCATTATGACGTAAGTTCAAACTTAAAGAAAGACGGGGGCCGCCACAGACTTTCTTCCACCTATGATCCGCTAACCAAGTCAAGTTTTCCATCTGCATAACGTGACTTTACGAAACCTGTGGATTGCTCATTCCTTGACAAAGATATGTAAAAAAGATTGGGTACTTCCAATTTCTTGTGTTGGAAATTTTAAGCTTAACCCGTTACGGCATAGTAATGCATCTTATTTCTATAATAGTCATTAAAGTTAACAGGATACAATCTGAAGAACTTTACGCAGGCGTCACTGGATACTAGGCTATGTTGGTCCACACTACCTGTACCAATAGTGGATGGCTACAGTAGTACTATCAGTTGTTCATCTGTGAATGATGGAAGAGACAATATCCCCGGTAGTGTACGTCAATGATGACGTATTTGTATGATTGAGTGAGTAGAGACCGGATAGAGGACTTCAGGTCCAGTGGACAGGTTATTAGCTGACCTTTAGGCCACAGCAAGTAAATTTTATGGATGGCATCCTCCACAGACTCCAAATCTAATGCGAGCGGGCGAAAAAAACAAGGCGGGTTGAAAAAAACAAGGTTCCTACATTTCAATATTTTGACTCAATCATGGTACAAATGGTTTGATTCAGTGGGAACATCACATATACACAGCAAGCATCACATATCACTGCATCAAAGTAAGAAAAAACACATTAAATCAGATACTTTTCTTCTCTCCTCTCTTCATATTTATCTACCATCCACGTTCCGGCATGGCAACAGACATCTTTGCCCATTTTCGGCATGTTGACCACTGTCAGAAGGCAACAAAATTTCTTGTGTTTTTTTTTTTCAAAATCAGGCGAAAATTAATGCGCGCGCTGATGTTATCCATAAAAATTACTTGCCGCGGCCTTAGTTCTATACACATATCCTTTTTATCTACTCTACAAAACGAGGCTCATGGGAGCCACTCAAATGTTTGGGTTACTGTACAGCCAGTGAGAACAGATGTTTGTTGACCTTAGACTTGAAAAGTTTAAGGTCATACCCATATGGAAAACGTGGTAGCTTATCCATAGTGATGTTGTTCTAAGAAAGAAGCTTTCAGCGTGGAACTTCCTCCTAAGAGGTGGTGTATGGAGGAAGAAAGGGTGATTTGCTTCAGTGGAAGTGGCACAACGTGTCCTTGCTGAGAATGTTTGAAGTGGGGGCACTAGCGAGTGAAGTTCCGCGCGGAGCATTTACCGTGGAAATAGCGATAGATAGCGCCAGGATTGCAACGTTACGCCTATGTGAGAGTGGTTGTAGGGTGGCGAACAAGTCACTCCCAACAAGGAATGACTATACACTTATCTTTGGTCTGGGTCGTCAGAACATTTCCCTTCTTCTCCTTCGCCAGCTACAAAACCCAGTCTTAATTAAAGGAGTACTAGTATATTATGTAAACTTTTTGCACAAAAAGTTGATGAAATAAATTGAAATTTAAACAAATCTTAGTGCAATGGTAATTTGCTACCACTTTTCAACATATGTGTGAAATTATCACATATTTCTGACATTTATAGTTGCCTCACACGAGGCAAACTCAGTCCGTGGCACCTAAATGTGCACAAGCTACCGCACATATGGCTGACAGTTGTGTTTTCATATTTTTTAACACACGTAGGGCGGGTTATGCTTTGGCACATTCCCTTCTTGAATCACACTTATATTTGCAGTGGACTAGTGTCGATTCAACTTATTTTGTAAAGAAATGACCACAAAATTTACCTTTTGCACCATAATAAGTTTCATAATAGAAAAAGTATTTCCTGGCTTCTTTCGACGAACAAAATAAAATGAACTAGTAATGTATCTGGTATAATAACTTTTAGATTTTTGGTCAAACAAGAAAACCTTAATACGTGTATCACGAATAGATTGGAAGATAATAGTTCTTAGTATGAAATTTTGCATGGACATTATAGCCACGGTACCATGATAACAATTTCATAGAATTCCATACCTGATTCCCCTTATAAAAAAGAATACACAGGCAATAGCTATCTGCTATAATAAAAAATCTCTGAAGTTGGGTTGCATCACCAGAAAACGGGTCTTTGACGTCAAGCGCTATATATACACTCTGTCATCCGTGAACAGATCCTGAGTTCTGGGTATACGTATAGGCCACGACGTCTTAATTTTATGGATGACATCCTCTGAAGACCTCCAAACTAGTGCGTGCGGGCGAAAAAAAAAAGAAAAATCCGGCCAAAAATAAAAATGCTACTAAACCACAGTAATACAAAGCCGGTATTATGAATTTGGCGCGCATTACATAGCGACGTGTACGACAGGCCAGCACATGCTGGCTTTTTGCGGAATTTATGAATCGACACTGAACGTATCATATAGTACTGAGTTCTTCAGTCGTGGAGCTTCGGTAGCCTGGCTGCCGTCAACCAGAGTTACCACCGACTTCGTTGTCGCTTACCACCATGGACTACCCAGGCCTAGAGCCTGGCCAGGGCCTCCGAAGACGTGATTTTTTTTTTTGAGATCAGGTGAAAATCAATGCGCGCGCGGATGTCATCCATAACATTAAGTCAGTGTGGCCATACAGAGAGAAGATACAGGGGATTTCTTTTTCTCCTCGTTAATTATTCACGACAGTCGTCATCGGGGAATTCCGCAGGGACCGCGAGGGGAAACTAATCGGTGGGAATGACTTTATCTGCCGCCGGATATAGAACCAGGGTGACCCCGAGTACGGTACATCAGAACTGGTGAATCTCTAATGGCACGGTCACATTTCCAAGCCGGGGCCCGGCCGGGTTGTTTGCGTGAACCAAGGACGTTCAATCATATATAGAAGAAGTCGAACCCCATAATAGCTAGCGTAGTAGTAGAAGTAGAAGTTTTTTTCCAGACAGTTGTTACATGTCTCCTGTTACTGTATTGCAATGTGTATTATACTTGATTGTAAAAGCAATAAGCCTTCGGGAATGATTTTGCAAATAAGGTTTTAATATATGATTGAACGTCCTTTCGTGAACGAAAAATAAACAATTTTTATTAAGAGTATACACAAGTAGTGCTCATGGTTAATTATCTAAAACTTTTTTTTGTGTTTTGCTGTCTTATGTCGTAATTTTCGTTCCATACGACTGCCCGGCCGGGGCCCGTGTTGGGAAATGTGACCGCGCCATAACAAATTGTGGCGTAATGACAGAGCATTCGGCTCGGAACCAAGAGGTGAGTATTGAATAAGTAGGTGGCTTTGACAGTTTTTCTGACATGTTTAGCATGTATTTCACTGGAAACTTTTAATAGTAGGCTACGCCCGAATCAATGACCTTCACACACAGACATGAGCGCAGACAGAGAACAAAACGAAAACGACCCCTAGCGAATAAAAGTGCTTTTGCATGCATTCATTTGTCTCATAACGATTATGTGGGGCTGTTAATAAGCTGTTATTGTATTAAGATGCGTGTTATATTCTTATGTAATGCCTATGTACTATCATAAAGCAAAACAAGTACAAGTACTAGTACTATAGTAAATCCGGTATTGGCGGCATGTATTTTTTGTGTGGAAAGCAAAACCAACACAAGGCAAAATGTTATTCCACTAATGGTGCAATATGTGGTTGCTTCCACCAGGGGGCACGCTTACCTGGTGTGAATT